GAGCGGTTTTATTGGACAGCGGTCGCGGGAGGGGGCGTGCCGCCGCGGTGGTGGGGGAGCCAGTGACTCGCTGCGCGCGAACCGTCCCGGGCGTTCGGGAAAATTCGGGCCCCGAGCGTCGGCGGCCGAGCGGCTTCGGGTCGCTTCGGGTGCGAGTGGCGGGAAGAATCGCGAGACGTGGGGAAGGATCCAGAATGGGGTAGAAGGGACGCTGCCCCCGTCTTCGCGCAGCCCAGGAGTGGGGAGGGGAGAGGCGGGGGCAGGGGGCGGGCGGGCAAACAGCTGATCCGCCTGACGTCTGCTGTGCCTTGGCTGTGCTATGGTGACGCGTCGTGGGGCGGCGGCGTGTTTCTTGGCTGATGAAAATATTTTTGTTGTTCGGCTAAAAGCGAACTTAAGATTTCCTGTGTGATGTGGGAGAATTAATTTAGATATCGGTACCAGGTTGAGAACATCAGCGCCCTTGCTCACCCCCCCCCCCCCGAAATAAGTATTACACTAGGCGCCCTCAGGGGGAATTGATAAAACACGCCATGCTTTTCGCCCTTTCCCCTTTGACAGCGAAAAATACCCGCTGGTTCAAAATGGGCCCTGCAACTTATCTTACTTGTAGGGTATCTTGAGGTAGGCCTACTTTATTCCGCGTCTTATTATTCGATCCCAGATAGTCACTCCACTCCACCGAGGCGTCACAAGCCTTAACACCCCCCCCCCTTTCCACCACCACCCCACCCCCAGGTCATACTTGACCACACTTGCAAGCCTCAATCTCACCCCAACCCCCTCCCGAATGACTCCTGTCTTGTGCAGTGGCGCACCCTTTAGAAACGTTAACAATCTTTGTTAGTAATTAAACGTACCCGACTTAAAGAGATGTGCGTAAAAATTTAAAACATTCCGGTCAGGAAGTGTGGCAGGCAGTATGACACCTACGGGTGTGAGGCAAAATATCCTACGCCGAATGATGGGAGACGGTGGGAGACCCCCCCCCCCCTCATGTGCGCTGTCTGATATGCACGACCATCGAGCGGGCCTGCACAGCAACTGTGTACAGCAACATTGCCAAGATTGCCAGATTGTTCAATGAATGTCTTTATTTTGGATCATACAACGCCTGTAGGCAAAACTACAGTATGCAAAACAAAACTACTTGCACCCCGAATTCAGGCCAAAAGCATGGTTTTTGGGTCTAATGACTAGAGGTTGCAGAACATTTTCGTAGACTGCCAGGGAGGATGTATACACCAGATTGCCGTAGTTGTGGCCCCCGTTTGACGACCCTGCCGGGTTCGTTTAAAACCTGACGTTTGTGTGTCACGTCACGCATAACTAAATGTCCATGCCTAGTGCAAGCACCAATGCTCGCATATGGGTTTGCCTACTTTCAGAGGGGCCATCGGTGGTTTACGCGCCGGGGAAGTAGGCAACCCGCCCGCACCGGCCGGTGCATACAAATATGCAGTGTGTGATGGTCTATTATCATGTCGTTAAGTGGTGTGAGGTTCTCTCTCTATGAACGGCACAATGTACAATTTCGACGGTATATTTACACTATGTACCAGGTGTCTGATTCACGCCGCGCACTTCTGTAGGTATATACTGTACCGCATGCACGAGTGCGAGCGGGCTTGCCTATCGCCCCTGTCCCGCGAGTAGGCAACCCGCCCGCACTCGTGCATGCGGTACAGTATATACCTACAGAAGTGCGCGGCGTGAATCAGCCACCTGGTACATGTAGTCGTCGCCAGGAGCAGTGAGGTGTTCACATTACATCCGAGGAGCGAGTTTCTACGACTGTGTGACAGTCTCCGAGGGCCGCACGCAGGCGGGCCCTATAGTGTATTTCGACTAACGGAGGAAGAAGAGTAGCGGTTAGAACTTAAACGTTACCGATTGGTTGAGAGCTTCCCGCATCTGCAGGGTGGTCCATAGACCCCTCTCTTTATTTTGCTTATACTGTACCACATGCAGGCGTGCGGGCGGGCTTGCCTACCACGACGTCTTATGGCCCCGTGTGAGTATGCAACCCGCCCGCACGCCTGAATGCGGTACAGTGAAAACAAAATAAAGGAAGGGGTCTATGGACCACCCTGTATGTCACGCTCGGCCAATCAGGAACCATTATCTTCTACCCGCTATTCTTCTTCCTCCGTTAGTCGAAATACACTATTTAGCAGGCAGGCCCTTCCCAATCCCTGAGGCCTGCTTCCTTGGTTCAACCTCCCTGGCCGATTTCCCTCTATGTTCTTTTCATTGTAACATTTCATCAGCACGACAGGACATTGCCCGTACAGCCAACTCCCTTTCTCTCTAGCCACCTCTCGATTCTTCCAGAACCTTCCGGTCTCCATGCTAAGGGACGGTGGTGTAGAGAGGGGAAGGGGCGCTCCCCCACCAGGCCGCCGCCGACCAACCAGAGCGCGGTTCTAGACGCTTCGAGAGCGCCCAGAAAGCGCGCGCGGGTTCGAAGCGGCCGCGCGGCAGGCCTGGCGCGCCGCGCCCCCACCACCGCAGCCGCCGCGACCGCCCCGCTATAAAACCATTTCGGCCGGGCAGACGGGTCAGTTTTGATTCAGCAATCACAGCGACCAGACGCGAGCGACAACGCGAAGTCTAGCGACTTTCTCTGTTCGTGACAGCGAGCTTTAAGTGCGAAGTGCAGTTTTTCTCCGAGTTTTGTGAACGAGTATCTCAGCATCAAAATGCCAGCAGTGGGAATCGACTTGGGCACCACCTACTCCTGCGTGGGCGTGTGGCAGCAGGGCAAGGTGGAGATCATCGCCAACGACCAGGGCAACCGCACCACCCCTAGCTATGTGGCCTTCACCGACACCGAGAGGCTGATCGGCGACGCGGCCAAGAACCAGACCGCCATGAACCCCAAGGACACCGTGTTCGACGCCAAGCGACTCATCGGGCGGCGCTTCGACGACCCCAAGATCCAGGCTGACATCAAGCAGTGGCCCTTCAGCGTCATCAGCGACAGCGGCAAGCCCAAGATCCAGGTTACATTCAAGGGTGAGCGCAAGGTGTTCTCCCCGGAGGAGATCAGCTCCATGGTGCTGACGAAGATGAAGGAGACGGCCGAGGCGTACCTGGGCAGCACGGTCCGGGACGCGGTGGTCACCGTGCCCGCCTACTTCAACGACAGCCAGCGCCAGGCCACCAAGGACGCGGGCGTCATCGCGGGGCTCAACGTCATGAGGATCATCAACGAGCCCACGGCCGCGGCGCTGGCCTACGGCCTGGACAAGAACCTCAAGGGCGAGCGCAACGTGCTCATCTTCGACCTGGGCGGCGGTACCTTCGACGTGTCGGTGCTCTCCATCGACGAGGGCTCCCTGTTCGAGGTCAAGTCGACGGCCGGAGACACGCACCTGGGCGGCGAGGACTTTGACAGCCGGCTGGAGTTCAAGCGCAAGTACAAGAAGGACGTGACGAGCAACCCCCGCGCCCTGCGTCGCCTGCGCACCGCGGCGGAGCGCGCCAAGCGCACGCTGTCGTCCAGCACCGAGGCCAACATCGAGATCGACGCGCTGTACGAGGGCATCGACTTCTACACCAAGGTGTCCCGGGCCCGCTTCGAGGAGCTGTGCGCCGACCTGTTCCGCGCCACGCTCACCCCGGTCGAGCGCGCGCTGCAGGACGCCAAGATGAGCAAGAGCGACATCCACGACGTGGTCCTGGTGGGCGGCTCCACGCGCATCCCCAAGGTCCAGAGCCTGCTGCAGAACTTCTTCTGCGGCAAGTCCCTCAACCTGTCCATCAACCCAGGACGAGGCCGTGGCGTACGGCGCGGCCGTGCAGGCCGCCATCCTGTCCGGCGACCAGAGCGAGGCCATCCAGGACGTGCTGCTGGTGGACGTGGCGCCGCTGTCGCTCGGCATCGAGACGGCGGGCGGCGTCATGACCAAGATCATCGAGCGCAACAGCCGCATCCCGTGCAAGCAGACGCAGACCTTCTCCACGTACGCCGACAACCAGCCGGCCGTCACCATCCAGGTGTTCGAGGGCGAGCGCGCCATGACCAAGGACAACAACCGCCTGGGCACCTTCGACCTGACGGGCATCCCGCCCGCGCCGCGCGGTGTCCCCAAGATCGAGGTCACCTTTGACCTGGACGCCAACGGCATCCTCAACGTCGCCGCCAAGGACACGAGCTCGGGCCGCTCCCAGAACATCACCATCAAGAACGACAAGGGCCGCCTCTCGGCCGACGAGATCCAGCGCATGGTGGACGAGGCTGAGCGGTACAAGGCCGAGGACGACCAACAGCGCGACCGCGTCGCAGCGCGCAACCAGCTGGAGGGCTACGTGTTCAGCATCAAGCAGGCCATCGACGAGGCCGGCGACAAGCTCCCGGAGCAGGACAAGACCAGGGCGCGCGAGGAGTGCGAGGCGACGCTGCGCTGGCTGGACAGCAACACCCTGGCCGACAAGGAGGAGTACGAGCACCGCCTCAAGGAGCTGCAGCAGAAGGTGCAGGAGGTCATGGTGCGCCTGCACTCGGGCGGCCCGGGCGCGTCGCAGCCCCAGGCACCCCAGGGCTGCGGGCAGCAGGCTGGCAGGCACAACGGCCCCACCGTCGAGGAGGTCGACTAAATCAACCCAGTCATTAGGGTGATAAAGACTTTTGAGAAAGTGGGATTTTAGTGTTAATGATGTGTGAACATGTTTAGTTGCAGCATTTCTTTAAATCCAAAGAGGTGTATGTGTGAGTGTGTGAGTGTGTTACTACATAAGGTGCTTATCTTATTTATTGTTTTTGCATTTGCTATGTTGACTGATTAATTGTTAATGTAAATCTAGTTTGCGGCTATTACACATGTACACTTGATGTAATAGTTTTGTTTCCTGTGGAACCGTTATATGTTGCAAGCAGAAAACTGTGTTGGAAATAATTATTTCAATCAATAAATTATTTTATATATTTTTTTAAACCTTTCTATTTTTCTTCCACTTGCTCTCCTTGCCTGTTTTTATTTACAACAACAACCGCCCCACCGTTAACAAAGGTCAAATAAATCACCCATAGTAAAGTTTGATATGCATTAATTAGACTTGAATGTGCTAATTTTCAAAAAGTATTAGTCGACTTATCTAATTTTGCTTTGTTGCATCTCTTTCTTTAAAACATCTTTGAAAAAACGATAGAACGGTAGTACTGGCAACAATAAAAAAATCATTCACATACAGATAACCTAACCACAATGCACTTACTTACATTCAGTATTTTGTTTGAATCACACATGTTTCACTCGGCCAGAAACTTGTTTGGAAACTTGTGACGAAGTTCCCACTTGAGAAAGGTTCCCAAGTTCCTTTTAAAAAGTCTCTTTTAAATTCACACTGAACCCGCGAAACCACCATGTGGTGTGTAAGGTCTCTTTTTGCCAACCTTTTTAATTATAATTTTATTTAAGTGGCCCCTTTAAACGGTATTACTATGCTTTGATCAGTTGAATATATTTTTTAATTTATCAAAATAGTTCCACACCTGTGAATTTTATCAATTTTACTTGTAGAAACGAATGTTCTTTCTTTACATCAAGTAATTTACGTTGGTGCGAAATGAATCATGCCATCCGAAGAAGAACAAAACGCGCCACCGGTTTCCAGCCGGCGCGATCACAACAGAGAATGCAAATGTTTGAAGCGTGTCTGCTCTCTACTTGTATATATCTTCGCTGTTTTGTTGTCTAACGCTATGCCATCATAAATTGTGCGATGGGTCGGTTAAATCTTTTACTGTGTGTAGCGGCAATAAGTGTGTTTTTCGTGGACTGTTCAAAACTAAATGTACCGAGGGTGCTTCTCCCCTTGTTCAATGATGTATCCACAAATTTTACTCTTGAAGTAACGGATGGAGGCTGTTACAAATGGTATGATTACATTTTGTTCGGTCCTTTTGATTTTTATCTTTTCTATTGTAAGACATTTTATAGAGCACTGTTAATTTAGTCTGCTCTTTGATGTAGCATCAACCTGCCCTCAGTGGTACCATAACCTTTCAGTTCTCATTCAACCCAGGTGTCTTGGCGGTTGGGTTTACGTTCTTTTATACTATTTTTTTAAAATTCGTTTTTCAGGACTTTATCTCGAGAAGATGTCATTCAACTAACTCCACTTAATGTGCAATTTGGCACTCAGTGCTCGACTCAAGTTGTGTTATCTCCAATCACTAAAGACAAAAAGAGAAATACAGTGGTTGTCTTTGCGGAGGAAGTGCGTTCTAGACAAATTATTCCCTGTGATGTGGATGTCGATGTTATTCACTCATTACAGATTGTCACTCGTACTCGAGAGCTTTATGTTGAAGAAGCTCCTCAGAGATTTGAAGTTAGTGCTTATGATGATCAAGGTAGGATATTGTCTTAAATTATCAGAATATCCGAGTAACTTACATTTTTTATGTCCAGAGATAAACAATTGCCTAATTATTTTGTTATTTTTCTTGTGTAGGAAACCAATTTACAACTCTTCTTGGTATTGAAATGGATTGGGCAGTATCTTCAGTGGGTACCAGTGGCATTATCAGTTTTATGCCCTTCAAAGAATCGCCGTATGATACTCCTCCCAGTGTCGCTCATTTTGATCAGATTGGTATAAGAGGGCATATCATTTTACTAGAGGGCATTAAGACTGGCACAGCTAAGGTTTGTTGCAAGACAAAACTTTGCCTACTCCAATCTTAAGAATTTCTTTTTAAATAGCCCTTTTCTCTTTAGGTGTCTGTGAAACTACCTCAGAAAGAATATAGGCACATCAATCCTGTAGAAGTTCAGTTAATGGTGGTTGCCAATTTACTCATTGATCCTGCAGATGTTTATTTATTACCTGGTGATTCTATAAAATATCGCATTCTACAGGTAATACTATCATAGACAAGTTCTTGTCTGAAAATATACACTGTTGGTCTTCACTTTTTGGCATTTTTTCAGATTCGCCATGGTAGACTGCATGAAATTGAATTACCATCAAGCCAATATTACCTTGAAATGGAAGATACTGAGATTGCCTCCATTGACTCCTATTCTTCTGAAGCCCAGGCCTTACAAGTTGGTCGAACTAAAATTTCACTGAGAGACAGGAACGTTGATCCTAATGTTTCTGGTCTTCGTGTCCCTCAAGCAACAATCAATGTTGCTTTACCAGCCTTTATTCATCTTGTGTTATTACCCCATCGCCACTGGTCAGTCCTTGTAGATGACAAACATGTAATTACTGTGGAAGTATTTGATAGGTGAGTTGTTTCAATCTTTAACTTCCATACCATGATTCATTAATATAAGGTATCAGTAAACTTCATTTTGTATGTTATAGGTCTAACCACAAATTTCACATTAATGATGGAAGGGTTGACGTGACTGTTCCTAGTGAACTTTTTCATGTCGACTCCACTTCTGTCAATGGAACTTTTAATTCTGGTTGGGCAGTGAAGCCTGGCACAGCAAGAGTTCAAGCAGTATTGAAAGGAGTTGTCACTCCCAGAGGTACAGAATATCCACTCAGAGACAAGGTATCAACTGAAGAGGACATGCTCATTTATTCTAGAATGGAAATTCACCCCGAGACTGTCGTGCTTCCATGGGACCCCCGAATTCGTTCAAGGTTTGGAATATATACATTGCCTGAGATTAAACTCACTCTGGATGATTTGTATCTAGTCACTGCAATTGTGTTCTTTTAGTATCTAACCTATCTGTACACTATCTTTTCTGAAATTAAGGTATGAAGTTCCATTGCAATGTAAAGGAGGAGATGGTGCCTTTATTTGGAGTAGTTCAAATACATCAGTAGCAACCGTATCGGCATCTGGTTTGGTTCGTACAAACACTCTTGGCCAATCAACAGTTACTGCAGTGATGGTAAATAATCCTCACAATCAGGCAACTGCGTCGGTCACTGTTCTTCCCCCAAGTCGACTGAAAATACTAGGTTTGTTGGAACTTCTCATGTGCCTGGTTTTAAGTTGTCATTTATCTTCAGAACTTTAAAAAAAAAAAACATTATTTTTTTATTTTTTTTATTTTTATTTTTTTTTGTAATTTTTAGATTCTGGTTTGGAAGCTGAAATTGGTTCCCCAATACATCTGCAAATTGCTATATTTGCAAAGACTGCCTCTGATGCAGATGACCTTCCATTTACGATGTGTCATGATTTGCCCCTTACTGTCACAATCTCTGATGATAACTTTGTTCAAAGTGAATCAGTGGGAGGGACTCTCACTGATGGGGCGTGTACAATCATCACTGTTACTGGAAAATCTCTTGGGACAACCAAGGTATATTTTTCTTTGTTGTTTGAAGAAGTCTCTTGCAATCCAACAGTTCTGTGTTGATTTAATCTAGCTCAATTTTTATTAATACTTACTTTTATTGAAGGTTACTGTGTTGTACAGTGAGGGCGATATTGTTCTGGAAGACAGTGTAATGATCGCAGCTTTTCGGCCTCTCTCTGTTCTACACCCACCCTCAGGAGAAACTGTCCTAGCACTTGGAACATCAAGGCAGTTAGTTTTTGTTGGTGGGCCTAGACCTTGGCCTGGAAGGGGCTCTGAGCACGGCAAAGTCATCTCACAAGGCGAAAATGCTAAATCTAAAAAGGATATGCTAGAGGTATCCTGTCTTCATATTTCCTTTGACATTTTATAAAATTATATTGTTTTCTAATCTATGCTTCTATTTTTAGATTGGAGAGCTCCCACATTTATCCATTGATGTGCGTGATAGATATGTGTACACTGTGCTCTGTCGTGTTTTAGGGGAGACTAAGGTTACCCTCACAGTTTTTAGTGAAGGCCGTTCTGGGCAGCGTATTGAATCAACTGCATCTGTAAGCTTTTTGAATTTTTATTTTAAGTTTGTGTCAATAGGGGTTGTACTTGGTTGTTTACTTGTAAATAAAATTTGTTTTCAGGTAAATGTTTACTGTGCCAAACCAAGATTTGCCCTCTTGAAAGCTCTTCTGAAAACTGATGGACACTCTTTGTGTCCCATGAATGTCAATGCTGAAAGAGTTGCTGTACAGAGCTCCAGGGACTTGGAATTAGAACTCCAAGTTACTGATGTTCATGGCAGAGTATTTGATAATGTGACATCCATTCACATGGAGTGGTCTGCTAATCCAAACTCTCTTAGCCTATTTACTAGCAAAGATGGTACATTCTCGGAGCATATCCATGATAATGGTTTAACTCTACCTTTGCGGAACTACCAGGTAAATGACAAATTTTCAAATTTTATACTATTTCTTTTTCAAATTGGTTCTTACATTTCTGAGTATTTCTATAGGTTGTCCAACCCTATGGAGAAACAGGTGCTGTTGACATCACAGTTCGATTAATTGGCTATAGATCTGCTGTTCTTCGTCCCAAGCAAATCACTCCTGAGTGGCCTCCATTTGCCATTAAAAGTGATAAAGGGCCTGTAACTCCTGACATTAGAGCGACTTTAAGTTTACTCTTTGTTAGTGATACTTTGGTTACCCCAAACCAAACTATTTTGTTCAATCATCCTAGCAGTAAATTAATTCTACAAGTATGTATTTGTACGCTGTGTGGACTTTTTAGGGTTGTTACATAAAGTGTTATGTTACTGAATTCATGTACCTGGATGTAAATATTTTGTAGGTGAGTCAGGGATCAGGATACTTTGAACCCCAACTTGAGAGTCAAGATGTGGCAAATGTTCGGTATCTAGAGCATACTCAGACATTGGAAATTAGACCAATTTCAACTGGCATTGCTCACTTTGGTTTAGTGGACTTGTGTTTACCGTCTCGTCCTGCAACTGTATCTATCACTATTGTTGGTGTGCACAGTCTAGTGGTTGATGTTGCAGATTACTTACAGAGAGGAAAACAAACTTTGTGCTCAGTACACATTCTAGACACAATGGGAAATCCTCTTCAAGTACGTTAAATTTAATATTTCTGGAGAAGCAACTGTTTTTTGAATTCTGTTTCTTACTTTGCATGTCATTTTTATGAACTTTCCATGTGAAAATTTGTGTTTTTCAGCTATCAGATCTGCGGTTGTTAGAATTGCGCCCTCAGCTAGAAAAGAGCTCTTCAACTATTATAAGTGTTAAGGAGTATGAATCTGATCCTGAAATGGATAAGCAACTTGGAATTACAAGACCAGCTTCTCCAGGCGAATTTCGTTTTGTAGTTCAAGGTCTTACTTTAGGAGATGCAACATTATTCTTTACCACTGGTTTTGGAACCTATGAAGTTCGCAGCCCTCCGGTAACAATTCAGGTACATTTCTAAATTATTTTATTTTTATTATTGCATACTTTTTCAGACTAAAATTTAAAAATGCTTTTAATTATTGTATTTGTCAGGTGTTTGATCCTCTTCGTCTGTATCCTCGTAATATGACATTGTTGGTTGGAAGTCAAATGACAGTAGGTGTTTCTGGAGGACCCAGCCTTGGATTGCAACTTGAGTTTTCAGTTTCACGACCAGGCTATGTGCAAGTTTCTGATCTTGGAATAGTTGAAGGGGAGAAAGTCGGCGACACCCAGTTGACAGGCCAAGCAATTGGTGTCAGCAAAGTCACTGGGAATAAGATCATTTTTTCTGAAGTAAGTAACCACTGCTTTTTTACCACTGGAGACCTCTGGTAGGTAATTGTGTCTCTTTAAGTACTAAATATCTATTGATTGATTTCAGGATAGCATTGATGTCTTTGTAGTCCCTATTACGGGTATTCGCATAGAGTCACCCTTGACACGTCTTAAAGTTGATGCTATAATGCCCGTGTGGGCAAGTGGACTTCCAGACCCTCTTAGTCCGCTTGTACTTGGGACAACAAGGCCAGCTCTTGCCTTTGAATGGGATTTATCTTCCAGAGAGGTACAGGAAGAAATCTGTGAATTACTTCTTTCTAACATAATGTGTGAACCTCATTGAAGTTTCTTCACCTAATTGCACACTGTTTCACAGGTTGCTGAAATTACTGATGTATTGGTTGAAACTGGTATGGAAGTAACAGATGAGCATCGCATTTCCATTCGCGTGAAAGCCTTATCCCCTGGCCGAACAACACTCTCATTATCAGTTTTTGCTCCTCCTGCTATGACTGGCACGGCAAAGGTAAATAAATATTTAAATTTTAGCATTTAAATTAATTTTGTTTACATTTTTGTATTGAATGTCACCAGTAAGTTACTTATATGTTTGTGGATATTCAAAACATATTTTTCTGTTTGTTTTAGGGTGAACTGTTCGAAGAATCTCTTCAGTTGGAAGTGTATGAAGAACTTCGCCTAACTCAGCCTCCATCAATTGTTGGGAAAGATTTCTCTGGCTTACTTGTAGCACCGGAAACTCAGATGCAACTTCGCTCCAATCGAGATGGTCTATCAAGGGTATATTACAGGTAATTCATTATTTGACACTACATCTCTCTTTTGCAGAATATCTTGTTTCAGGAAGTATCAAAATTAAAGAGCAATCTTTACTGTTTCTTACCTTTTCTTGAAATTTTGTTTCTTTCCTATTATAGTTTGCAGGGATATCCTCCTGTTGGCAGTGCAGATAGTAACATTCGTGATCCAAGCACAGTTTTGACACAACAGAACTCTATTTTATCTCTTTCAAACAATGGTTTATTAACTACTCACTCATCTACTGGGAGAGCAGCAGTTATAGTCTCATCTATTGATGAATCTAACATTAGGCAAACTCTAGGACTCAGTGTGGAGGTAAGCATTGAACATATACAATTCATGTTCTTCATATTGTTTTGGATTACTCAAGGTTTTATTATAAATCTAATCAAATACCCTCTCTTTAAAAGGTGAAACCAGTTCATTATATCATGACAACTGTGAAATCTGCTCTCCATATCTCTCCTGGTATATCTGCGAAAGCTTTGCCTAAAGGGCTAGAGCTACAATTAGAAATCACTTATCATGACAACACTGGATCAGTGTTTGCTGCAACACGAACTGACATCAGTGTCAGAGCAAGTCGAGCTGATATTGTTCAAATGCGGCGCCCATCTGATTCTGATCAAATTGCCAGCAACTCAACTTTCTTCTCTAACCTGGTTCATGCAGGAGATACTGTGCTTAAAATTTCTGATAACCTTACTCCGTCTCAAGCAGCAGACTACATTAAGCTCCCAATTGAAGAGTTTATATTCCCTTCGAAAGTAAGTATTGCCTACTTATTTTCACTGAACTTCTCTTTGTCCACAATATTACAAACTATGTTTTATTTTCAGTCAAGGGTAGCTGTAGGCGATCTCATTTGCTTTTCAATGCCTTTGGCCTTGCCAACTGGTGAAATGGGACATTGGTCATCAGACAACCCACAAATCTTATCTTTAGATCATGATTCTGGTCTGGGCCGAGCGCGTGTACCTGGTGGACCTGTGTATGTGAAGTACCACCTAGATGACCATGTGGTTTCAAGCACTGAATTAGAAGTGGTCCCAATTACATCGGTAATTAAATCCATTTTTGCTGTTGTTTGTGTGTTAGTAATAACTGAGTTTTTAATACTGAGTCTTCCTCCCTTTCAAAATGTCAGATGGCTTTTGTTAACAATGTAGGAAACCCCCTATTCAGCTCAACTGCTGCACTCGACGAAGTTTATAGAGTGGGTTTAATCCTAAATGGTGAAAGTGAAGAAAGTAAATTAAGTAATCTCATAGTGAAAAATGAAGATGTAAGCTGCATAAAATCTGGACCAGTCCCCTTATCAGCTTTTCCATTCTCTTGTGAAGCAAGATTTAATAGTCCAGGCATACCTATGCAGATATCGGATGTTTTCAAAATTCAACCTGTGTTTGATGCTATTTCAGGTATCTTATTGGACTCAAAGTTGTAGCTTTAGACTTTTTAAGATATTTTTCTTGCGGCTTTCTAAGTAACAGCATTTTTCTTCAGGGCGTTATGCATGTGAGCTGAGGCCGATTGGTAAACTGTCATTTGAGATCAGTCAACTCAGAACAAATGTGACACTCCGTGCACGCGCTGCATCCTGGGCAGGGGAGGCTGCGTCGGCGCCACTAGTATTGCCATTTTTGCCATCTTTTTATCTGGATAGTCATGAAGTTGTTCTCCCTGGTGGGACTCCTGGGAAGTTGGAAATCAAAGCTGTACCAGAAGTTCTAGCTCAGATTCAGGTATATATATATATATATTTTTGTCTTATTTCCAAACTAAATTACACATAAGCATTTTTAATTTTGCTAATATTTTTGTTGTAGGTTGTACCTTCTGATGATGGAATGGTCTACATATCAAGTCCTCAGTATGTTGGTGACCAAAGTGTTGTTTATCAAATAAGTCTTACCAGCAAGTTTTGGGGTAATGCTGCTATAAATGAACTGAAATATGTCAGTGTTATTTCTTCATTAACTAATCAGAATGTTAAGGTAGTACTATTGTTCTTATTTATTTCTTCTACCTAGTTTTTCCTTATCCATTTGTTAACATCCATCATTAATTAATTTTTTTAAAACAGATTGCCATTAAACTTCGAATGGACCCCGACCAATGGGGAGCTCCCTGTATGGTTACTCCTGTCAGCTCCCTTGTGGATATTGCCTATTCAAATCGACACTTACTTATCATGGTCGCTTCAATCATAGTTATATCCCTTGGTACACTGTATATCTATGTGGCTTTCATCAAGCCCTTCTTAGTTGCTCCTCAACCAATGTACCAATTAGGTAAGTGTATCCAGATGTCAAATTTAGCTAGAGAAAAAAAATGAAGAACCTAATGCAATCTGTCTTTAATTTCAGGCAATGCTCATAGTCACTCTCCAGGCTTTCAAACTTATTTGTCTCCAAGGTCGAACTTTTCACCTAATGATGTTTCTTTTCAACGCTCCAGTCCCTTGAATGAAACGCCTGTGTATGGTGATCCCCGATTATTATATAGCTCACCCCGTCACCGAAACCTTTCTCCTGACTTTTAAGGTTACAGGGGTTTGCATTTGTTGTCTAGTCCTCATATCATTACCATATTTTCTGATTAATAGGACTGAAGATTAGGGGAACTATTTCAAAACTTTTTATAGCTTTCAATTCGAGCATAGAAAATTTTCTCCAGAAATTACCCTGAATAGTCTAATCTAATTTCTTTGGCATGAAATAGAAGTATGTTGTATGTAAAGGGGAAAAAAATGCTGAACTTATACGTTAATTTAAATTTCTTAGTTAAAACTTCCTATTTATAACTGCCTTAGGGTAGCACTGTATGTGACTCAAATAAAGAGGGCCAGTTACATTTTCGTGTTCTCCAGTATCCTAAAATCTTTATAGCTCATTGTGATACTAATGATGTTGTATTCTATTTTTTTATCATAACAATCCAGCAAGTTTGTTTCTTTTTCCATTATTTTATTGTAATGAGAATCAGTTCTTTGTTTTCTTTAAGACTATTTTGGGGGGGGGGGGGTTAATATCTTAAAAAGTGTTAAAAGTTTTAATTATGAAAATTGTGAATTTTCTGTTCTTTGGTGTGTATTTGTACAGAAGGTATAATTATAAATTTGGTTTCCTTTACACATATTACTACAGTATGTATTTAGTTCTTTGTAAATTGAATAATTTTATATTCTGTGCCACTTCCTCACTCTTTACTGATGGCTGTTACCATTAATTGTCTCTGTACCGACATTTTTGTACCTTAATACTAGTAATTGTTCTAATAGAGCTTTTGTGTGTATAAAAATGTTCAGCAATTTTTGAGAACGAGAGCAGCTCTTCAGTTACGTAGTCTTACAGAACAAGATAGACTGTATTTTATTTTCTTGTATGAAAGGATAAATGATTAATAGGCTGTCAATTTTGTTTTTCTAATAACCATATGTGTACTGTGTGTGTGTTTATTATTAGTGATATTTGTCAACTTGATGCTCTCAATTCTTAATGAAGAATGAGTGTGTACCACTCTGGGTGTATGTAGGTGTGTGTGTGATACTTTTATTATGTTAAATGTGTTACACTTATTCAAGGTGTGATAATAGTGATGCAGTGCAACTTAATGAAAAATGTCAAAACGAATCAGCAACTCAATGTACTTACAGTCATGTTTTTTTTTTACCATGTATTTTGTTTCTTAGGTAGTTTTTGGAAGATTTGTCCTTGCTTGAAATCTCATCATAATGTCAATAAATGAAAAATTGGCTTTCCACCTTAACTGGGCTAAATTCTACCTTTTCCACCACAATTATTCTCTCAAATGAATTCCATTAGAACTTTTTTCCTTAAAAACAGAAACCTTGTAGTTCAGTTTCTGTCCATGGGTTGTTTTTTCTGCATTGGCTCGATTGGCTCAAAATAGAGGCCCATTAGTTCTATGTCTCCTGGTTGTGTGCTCAGAGAGATACATTTTGGTTTAAAGTTTTGAACCCAAAGCGGGACGCTGTATGACGTCATCTCTGCTGTTTCTCTCCCGTCCCCGTGCCATCGCGGTCACGTGGTCACGTGTCAAAACACTCCCGTTGAGGTAGGGTGGGGGTGTGGTTCGGCGAAATGACGTGTGTCGATGAGTAATCCCATGTATCGTCAAAGTTCCGCCCAAGTAGAGGGTTCATGACTGAACTGTGAAGAAAGAACCAGTGTCAGGAAGCATGGCACAAGTGCAGACACCCCCTGCTAATGCTCCCCCTCCAGCATGGTTGATAGCGCTGGATAAGAAACGTGAAAGGGTAAGCGTACACACAGCAGAAGCGTTGTTTACATATTGGGGAAGTGTCTACTGTGGATACTTTAGTAGTTTTTTACGTGACAACCATTTATTCAACAATTATCCGCTGTCGAATCTAACCAAAGCAAATGTTATTCTTAATAGTTACGGTCCTTATTGTTTATTTCGCTTTTATCAGGTTCACCGACTTGGACATGAAATCGGAGCCGGTTCGCGTTGCTTGGTCTGCAATGATGACTGCCCTGGCCTGGATTTACACTTTTGGAGGAAGATATGTCGAAATTGCAAATGCAAAAAGGAGGAACACGATGTCATTGATGATGATTATTACATGGAGCAGTTTGAAATTCTTCTGGGTTCCAACCATTCCAACAACCGACCTAATAAAGCCTGTATGTATTCTTCTCAGTTTTTCCTATCAGTTTGTTGCCTCGAGATTTTTCCTTGCTTTTTCTTGTACTATCAGTTGACTTGTTAAACCTATTTTTGATTGCAGTCCTGGAAATGTTAGAGAAACACACAAGTGCAGGATTTAAAAACAAGTTAAAGAGTCTTGCATTTGATTGGGTTCCACCAGATGTCTCACCTATTATCGCAGCAGAGTATATGCAGGCCTTACCAGCAAACAAACTGCCCATTAGTGGCAGTGATGGGGCTCTCTATAGGCGCCAACAACTTGAGCGCCAACTACCATTGCATGACTTGGATGCAAACCAGTGCCACCAGCTGACCGATGCTGAAGTAGAAAATTTGGAGAAATATCTGGAAAATCTCAAAAATAATGTGGTCGGTCAAGGTCGAGTAACTAAGTTGAGTATTCCAACTTCAAGCTCACTTGATTCGTTGCAGAAAGTCTGTACCTACAACAGTGTGCCAAAACCATACCAGTCAAGTATTGGGAGCAGCACATCATCTAACACTCAGCCTCATTTTAATGTAGAAGGCCAAGTAGATTCCTTACAACATATTCATTTGAAGACACCAAGTGCATTTTGGCCCAAGCGATCATCACCAGAGCCTTATCGGTCATTGTCTCCAGCAGCTGATGCCCTTCTACCCTCTGTCACTGACCGTGGTGCTGCGTTTGGTGTCACACTCTCTCCAGCATCTGAAGGACGACGGGCTACATCCAAGATTCCAAGACATGGAGCAATCGAACCGGGGCAATTGTTACCCACAGAAAACAGAGGCATGGGGCAGCTAAACTGTACTGGTCAGTTTGTGAAGGATCAAATCGCCACATCCCTCTCCCAATCCACAAATGTACCAGGAAGTATGTGGGTTCCGTCTGAGTGTGAAGAATGTTCAAGAAAAGATGAAAACGGCCAGTTAGTAAAGAGTCAATTTTGTAAACATACAGCTGTGTCTAGTGATGTTGCTCATAAAATAGAGCCCTTCGCATGTACAGATTGTGTTCAAAAAATTGTCGATGGGCAATTGGTAAAAGGCCACATTTGCACCCATATTGCCAGCTCAAGCATTAACCCACATATTAAAGCACCTGCTTATTGTTCTGAGTGTGTGCAGAAAGCTTTTGATGGAAAGCTGGTCAAGGGTCAAATGTGCACCCATATTACTAGCTCTAGTATTAATCCAAGTGTGAAAGCACCGGCTTATTGTGCTGAGTGTGTGCAGAGAGCTTTTGATGGCAAGCTAGTTAAGGGTCAACTGTGCACCCATATTACTAGCTCAAGCACTATTCCAAATATAATAGCACCTGCTTATTGTGCTGAGTGCGTGCAGAGAGCTTTTGATGGAAAGCTAGTTAAGGGTCAACTGTGCACCCATATTATTAGCTCAAGCCCTATTCCAAATGTAATAGGACCTGCCTATTGTACTGAGTGTGTGCAGAAAGTTACTGATGGCAAGCTGGTAAAGGGTCAGATGTGCACTCACATTGCCAGCTCAAGCATTAATCCAAAAGGAATATCACCTGCCTATTGTGGTGAGTGTGTGCAGAGAGCTTTTGATGGTAAGCTGGTCAAGGGCCAAATATGCACCCATATGACTAGCTCCAGTATTAATCCAGGTGTAGTAGCACCTGCCTATTGTGCTGAGTGTGTGCAGAAAGTTATTGATGGCAAGATGGTTAAGGGTCAAATGTGCACTCACATTGCCAGCTCAAGCATTAATCCAAAAGGAGTATCACCTGCCTATTGTGGTGAGTGTGTGCAGAAAGTTATTGATGGCAAGATGGTTAAGGGTCAAATGTGCACCCACATTACCAGCTCAAGCATTAATCCAAAAGTAGTAGCACCTGCCTATTGTGGTGAGTGTGTGCAGAAAGTCATTGATGGCAAGCTGGTTAAGGGTCACATTTGCACTCACATTGCCAGCTCAAGCGTTAATCCCAATGTAATAGCACCTGCTGACTGTAGGAAGTGCCTGAATGAAGGTATACATGATCAAATATGCCCTCACATTATCTATGCAGATATTGACCATGGGGTACCCCACAGTACGCCGGCTTCTAAATGTAAGTTTCTAACCAGTAATTTGCCTCAATCTGGCCAGATTAGTTTGTCTCAAGTAAGTGTGGTTACCTGCATACCTCTGTTTACTTCTAGGTATGACGTCAGCCTCCAGTGCTCCTCACGTGATGGCTTTGTATGCCCACAATGCTTTGAACTCTCCATCAAGGTTGCACCCGCAAGATAAGCTCTCTCCTCATGTTGCGTCTCTATCCATTGATGACCATCACTATGAAGAAATCCCTAAGTATGAAGAAATCCCTGGTGGGGATGAGGTTCACTATGACTCTATCCGTGGGATGCAAGATGCAGTGCCCATTGGTCCCATTCCTCCTACCAATCTTCATTGTGCTGAATGTAGTGAGGATATATTACCTGGGGAAGTGGTAGTATTTGCAGACCGTGCTGGATCTGATATGGTTTGGCATCCTAAATGTTTTGTGTGTCATACCTGCCAGGTAAAACTTTCAAGACTCTCTGAAATGTTAATGTTTAAAAATACATTTATTTTGAAGGGGGATAACATTTTTATTGATTTTTCTTTTTTCAGGAGCTCTTGGTGGATCTTGTATACTTCTTCAACAAGGGTCATGTGTACTGTGGCCGTCATTTTTCTGAGATGTTAGACATTCCACGTTGTAGTGCTTGTGATGAGGTACATGATGAAGATTTATTACAAAAATATTATTGTCTTTTGGTGTAGATTTGATAAATTAGTTGTCTCTTAATCGTCTGTTACAGCTTATCTTTGTGAAAGAGTACACTGTTGCTGAAGGACAAGATTTCCATGTTAAACACTTCTGCTGCTTTGAATGTGATGAACCTTTGGGTGGGAAGCAGTACGTTCCTAAAGAGGGCCAGCCAGTTTGTCTGCCTTGCTATGAACTCAAATATGGAAAAGTAAGTATCACTGCTCTAGAAGGTCTAGTTCATAAATTCAGCAATGTTTATAAATGTGTTTTCTTTTAGAAATGCCAATCTTGTCAACTCGTCATCAAGGCAAAAGATCAAGGAGTTGCCTTTAAACATCTTCATTGGCATGCTACTCCTGAATGTTTCCTTTGCTTCTCCTGTCAAAAGTTTTTACTGACTGGCCGATTTGCTGTGAGAGATGATCGCCCATTCTGTTGTAAGGAGTGCATGCAGGCAAGTTTATCTACAAATCATCAAAAGGTTTCAGCTGTCTAGATTTAACACGTTGAGTGCGGCGTGACCCACAGCTTGGGTCCCAATAACATGGGATTGCCTAACCTCTCTGCACTCAATGTGTTAACAAGGCCAATTCTATACTGTTGTAAAGAGGGTGTCAAGGTGAGAAACAGTAAATTCTCTATTTTTTATATTCTATTTTACTACATCTAAGCTGTTTTATTGATGCAGTATTTTGTCATGGTTCATTTGTGCAACAAATGCATTTTTTTAAAAATGATGCTTACTCCAGACTTTTGGTCTATATTTTATGAGTACGTTTATCCTTGTACTAAAAAACTGCAGCTTTTGCAGTACATATCAGAAATGTCACATGTACTATACTAATTTAGAAATTAAGCATTCCGTACTTGAAAAGTTGTGATTGAAACTCTTTGTGATTTTTCTATGTCTTCTTTTTTGCCAATCAAAAATTTATATTTGGTTATTTGATAAAAAATATTTAATGAGTAAATGAATGAAATTTATTTATGCTATTAATAAAGGTACAGTATTTTATTGTATTCTGTTGTGTGTCTTCTTGTTTCTAGAAATTGTTTTAGAAGCTGTTGGACATCTGAGTCACATTTCTGGATATTCCTCATGAGATTTTTTGCTAAGAATGTGTGGATGGTGGATATCAGCAATGAATTTGCATATCATAAAGTACCTTTTATTTCAACTAAAATAGAAGCACAACTCATTGCTTGTGTGTACTTTCAGCCTGTGCTTAACACAACTTTTGTTTTTTTATAGTTTTACATTTTTCCACAAGACAGATGTGGAGACAATCTATCACACTCAAATTCTTGAGTACAAAGCCAAAAGAATTTTATAACAACAACTCCAGTCATATTTATGACAAGGAGAGCAACAGTAAGTCAGACCTGTCATCCAGGAATGCCTTATTTCATAACAAAACCCTAAGCAAAGTTAATAACAATTAATTTCAAAATGCCTTCCCCAGATGTTTGTAAGGTCAGACTTATTGAAAAAATCTTAGCTGTATTGTTCAATATTCCAGCCGAGGTCAATAGTATTACAATGTAAAAATTATTGCAATCAAGTGTTCCCTAGCACTTTAGGCACTTCATTGTATTATGAAGAATTTTTTTGTGTGTGCGCAATGTGAGTTGTTCCAATTAATTCATGGTGTTAACCATTCAAGTTTGTGCGCTGTGCAGCATATGGGGCCTATTGGTTAGCACTAGGAAAGTTACTTACGCCATCTCTCCTACATTATTATTTTTGACCATTTGTTTTACTGGATATCAAACTGCACAAATGCATTCACAACCTTGTTCCTTGTAGGTAACTTGACAATCACTGACTTTTCTGATTTTGCTGTCATCCTGAAAAAGGAAATTTTTTCAACTCACCTTCCATTATTGACAGCAAATGACAGTCAAATCACAAATAAGTCACTGATTTTGAGAATTACCACACTAAGCATATTTTCTATACTCACAAATTTTAAGTACAAGCAAACACAGAAGCACTGCATTTTCAAACAGTCTACTCAACATTCTTCCATGAACAATAAACACTCGTTATAAAACTACAAAAAAACAACATCTCCTTTTATTGCTATTACAAAACTTTTACTCTATAAAAAAGCTATTTGATTGAAGTTTAGAGCTTTGAATATTTTAACATGTGCACTGTGACTGAATGGGTAAACTCTTTGCACTTTCTTTAGGTACGTTTCTTTCTGAGTCCTAAATTTTCACTCATAAAACCAAGCAATTATGATTTCTTTTTGTAACAGCTACTGAGGAAACTTCATCTTGGAGATTTGCTTTTTATACTAATACCAGCCACATCTCTTAAGGACCGACTTCTGAGCAGTAACGTAAACAAAGGAGATTCAAGATTTCTTAAGGTACATAAGTCTGAAGGATTGTCCCTATTGTAGTACTAGAGTTTGTGTGATTGGCCACTTTGCGTCTTAATATCTCAACCAGCTGCTGGTTAGGGGAAAGACATAAGGTTTTTCAATCACCAATCTACAGGAGTGTTCTGAGAAGCACCTTTAGCCACGGTTGAAGCTGCTCACTTGGAACATTAAATAATGGGTTGCTCTCGATACGCCTGAAAACTTATATGACAATGAAATTTGTAAATTGAGTGAAAATTGTGCCCACAGAAAGTAACCCACCTTCGCGACTGATTGATTTACATACCGCAATCACGGCGACGGTGCCGCTTAGTTTTAACATTAGTTTTTTTTTGTATAAGTAACAGGTACCCGCTAACATAAAACACATTGAAAAAATAGGAATCAGCATCAAGAAAGTGATTTTGAGCTTAACATTCATAACACTTATCCTTGTTCAAAAGCAAAAGCGAAGTCTCTATTCTATCGGCACCACAGACATATTACGTTTTCATTCAGCGCTAAAAATTACTCGTCAATGCCCTCGACTATAAGGAGCAACGTTTAAAAGTGAGCTGAGGACTAACATACGAGACCACCGTGTGGCTATGGAATATAGAAAAGGCAATTTTAAAATTCAACTTTACTCGGGAGGCAAGAGACGGGATCTCTCCAATACACACACTCACACACACATATCGCGATCTCTTCCCCAAACAGTGAACAGCGCACCCCCGTTCCCTCTGCGGTTGTCGAGACAGCATTATCACAGAAGTTTAGTCAATCTGCGGTCTTCTGCGTTGTCCAGGTGTCAGCTGCACTGAGCAAGTGCCGAGGCAGGTGCCCAGTGCGTCCGACTGTGAAAGTCGAAGTAAATGTATTTCCTCATTGTGCATGCGGTTGCTGGCCCAAGGGAAGCATTTAGTGCGGTAGCTGAACAGGTCGTTATTCCTAGGTAGAACCAGTTTGTCAAAATGACCCCACAATGACCTCATTTTGACGCTCATCGTCAAGATTTACTGCGGCTAGCAGGTAGCCAGATTGAGCTCATTTTGACGTCAACTGAGGATCATTGACGAGTTTTCGACGATTGTGTTGTACCTGGGTTGGTGAGTCCACATTACACATGGAATATGTCTCCTTATAATGAACGTTTGGGGGAAATACTTGTCAAAACGATATCGAAACTATCGAGAGACAGAATCGACAACTTTTCGATATCGCGGTGACAAGTCAGTTCGCACTGCTGGGACTTCCCTCGTCGACACGGGCCATGGTGGCTGTTGACTCATTTCTGGCATAATTTTCAATTATTTTGTTGAGTGCTATATTTCACCGGGTGGGTACTTGTTATTTTGGAATCAAACGTAAAAACAAACACACAATAAAAACCTCCAACCATGAGCGCCCCAATGTGAGAAAAAAAAATGTCGGTCTGAAGGATGTCGGGAACGATATCGTTACCTCGTCTTCTCCGATACCGCGCCGAAGTCGTACAGGGTTGAGGCCCTGGTCCGGCTGTCTCCCCAACGGGCCTGGCCGGTCGCCGGCCGGGGGATTATTGTCATCTACCAAGTCTTTGGCTTGTGGCTTTGTGAGGGCAAAGCGGGATTGTCTCATGACAGAGCGTGGCCCTCGAGGAGCCTTTTTACGCAGCTTAGCACCCCCGCTTCACTCTCTCGTAAAATACATTTCTTCGTTTAGAAACTAGAGGGAAAGAGTTTTATCGTTGTTTCGTTGCAGCAGACGCGGGGGAGTTGGTGGAGAGGAGCGGCGCCTCGACCACCACGCACTCCCCGAGTGCGAGAGTGAGAGAGAAAAGTACTGGCTACGAAATAGGGAACCAGAGAAGGATAATGGTCCTGGATGTATACATTGATTCGATGCCACGTGAACTGCTTAAAAGTGAACTAATAATAACGTCTTAAAAAAGAATTACTTTGCACCGAATCTCATTCTTCGGGGAGGTCGAGGCTGCCCGTAGACGCGGGCCGCGTCTGTCCGCTTTCATCATTTAGGCCAGGGGTGGGAAACTACACTCTGGGCGCACTGCGCTGCGCCGGGCGGCGTCACAAGATGGCACACTTGTTGTCCTGCACTATGGGGGCGACGACCTCCTTGGTGAGCGCGGCGCGGTCGCTCGAGTCGATGGAGCGCATGAGCTCGTGGAACACCGCCACCACCCTCCAGTTGTACTTGGCCGAGCACTCGACGTAGCCGCACTTCCAGTGCTTGCGCACCAGGCTGACGATGTCCCGCCGCCGCTCGCGGTAGTCCGTGGGGTGGTGCGGGTGCGGCAGCAGGTGGTGCACGGCGTGGTGGAGGTGCGGCCGCGCGTGGTGGTGGTGCGGCGCGTGGTGGTGGAGGTGGTGGTGGTGATGGTGGTGGTCGTGGTGGTGGTGGCCGCGGTCCCCGCCGATGCTGTTGGCGAGCGGCGCGACGAGGGCGGCCGCCCCGGCCATGCCGCCGCCGGCCGCCAGCCCGAAGCCCGGGACGAGGCCGGCGCCGCCCAGGGCGCTGCCGAGGGCGCTGCCCAGCCCGCCGCCCAGCCCGGCGCCCGCCCCCATGGCGGCCCCGAGCCCGGCGCCCAGCAGGCCCGGGTGCGCCGGGTGGCCCGTGTGCGCGGGGTGCACGGGCGGCACCGGCGCCGTGCTGGGCGTGCTGGACTGCGCCGGCGGGAACACGAGCAGGTCGCGCTTGTTGCCCACCACGAGCACCGGCACCGACCGCAGGTCCCGCGAGGCCAGCATCTGGTCGCGGATCTTGCGGATGTACTGGAACGTGTCCGCGTTGGAGAGGTCGAACACCTGCGGAACGACAGGAGGGGAGGTCAGACCGAGGGGTCCTTCACTTAAAGAGAAAGACCGTCAGGAAAAAAAAAAAACGAAAAAAAACCACAAGAATAGACAGAAAAATCTATGACTAGTAAAAGGGACCCCTCGGGTCAGGCTCGTGAGAGCCGAGCCGAGTCATACGACACCACACGTGCGTTTTCTTTTGCCTGGTAGGATGGGGAGGATGGGGTCAGGGTGAAAGGGTTAAGGAGGAGGGATCCAGAATCAGTAGTCAGGAGGGGACGGGATCACTCAATCAGAGTAATCCCATCGGAAGAGGGAGGCGGGGAGGCGAGGGGCGGCGGGGCGAGCACAGGGGGGCAGTAGTCCCTGTAGTGTCCAATCAATTATACGGCAGGGCTGCCGGTGCTGCCGTAATCACGGGCAGGAGGAGGGGCGGGAGCTCACCAAGACGTAGGCAGTGGCGCTGCGCAGCCCGTAGAACCTGAACTCGCTCCACTCGACGGCGTTGTTCTCCGGGAAGAAGGGGATGACGGGCAGGTCCGTGATGTTGAGCTCGTACAGGTGGTCGTTGATCATGATGGAGGGGAAGTAGGTGTGCTTCCGGTCGGTGGGCTGGTAGTCGGGCGTGAACGTGTTCCACATGAATTGCTGCGACAGAAATATAGAGGGATTATTGGCAGGGTGAGCCGCGTAGCGCGAGGGGCGCGGCGGCGTGCGGCGGCCATACCAGAGGGCAGGCAAGCAAGGGAATAAAATAGTCGCCTAGTGGAGAGAGGGGCAGCGGTGCGGCCGGAGCCGGGCGGGTCGATCTCTGGCGGCCGAGCGCGGGTATCGCGGCCGGTCCCGGAGCCGGGGCCGAGTCGACAGCAGTCGGGGTGTCCGGCCGAGAGTTTTGTGCACCGGAGTGGACGGGCGAGGTCGGACGTGACGCCCCGGGATGCCTGACAAGTTGGAAAGTGCAACGGAAAGATACCCCTCCCCCTCTTCTCCCCACCTATCTCTGTTACCGACTGAGACGGAGGCGCGCGGCGCATATTTTGATGGGTTTATTGGAGACGATGACATTTTTCTTTCCGACGGAAGGAGAAACTTTTTCGCTTTTGTCTTTTGCGGGGTGAGGGGACGGACGGGATTCTCCTCTTCAACATGCATAAAACACTCACCTGCACGATGGCGGTCTTGCCAACGCCCGCCGCCCCCAGCATGACCACCTTGACCATGTCCAGGCGGTCGCTGTCGCCGCCCCCGAGCGGCCCCGCCTCGCTGCCGGGGCCGCCCTCCGAGCCGTCCACGCCCTGCCCCCGGCCCCCATGGCCCGCCGGGCCCGCCCCCCGCGAGAGAACAGGACTACGCTGGGGCCGGGGCGGCCGCACCTGGGGCTCCAGCCTGGTCGGACCAGCGCCTCCAGGCGAGCCTCCACAGGAGCCTCCGGGCCTCCAGGGCCTCCGACCTGCAACAAGAACAACAACGCTCAGCAAACAGAGGAGCAGGCAAACTTAGAAGGGGGGAGGGTGGGATAGGGATCTGCAACCTGTCTCCCGCAGCCCCGGCACCCTGCTGCCGCCACCCCTCCTCGGGCCGGCCCCGAAGTTACCCCCGGCAAGGGCGCCAAGTTACCCGCGCGGCGAAGCGCTGGCACCGCCAAGTTCCAGGGGGAGGGGGCTCTACTCTGGACGGGCTCGGTCGGTCCGATGGAGGGCCTGCCTGACGGCGCGCGGGCCCGTCTGACACCCGACCGCAGGCAGGCCACCACTGCTGGTCTGGTACCTCCTGAAGCCAAAGCCGTGGGGCGGGACCGGGGCGGGGCGGGCATGGTCGAATCCGGCCCTGTCCGGCCCGCCCTGTTGCGTCTCCTCATGCCCTTCCTGTGGTCTGCCCCGCGACAGCACCATCCTCGCAGGTCGATACACCCAACTACTCTCGGAGGAGCTCCTGCAGTCACTGCGATCCCTGCAGTCCCTGCACCCCGTGCAGCCCCTGGTGGTGCTGCAGTACACGCCGCCGCCGCCGTCCCCCGGGCTCGCTAACAGAGCGCCCGCCGCAGCCGGGGTAGGCACGCCCGGTGGACACGAGCGGCCCGCGGGTCTGCCTACCCCGCGGACTGCAGGCGCCCGCCAGCTCCGCCCCGCCACGCCCCCGCGCTGGACGTGGAGGGGAGAGATAAAGCAAAGCAGAGACTGCGACGGCAGCAGTAACTGACTCGTAAGCCATTGCGCGGCGGGGGCGTCGGAGAGACGGGAGCGCGCGGGGGAGAGAGTGGAGTGGAGGGTGGAGGGGCCCCCAGGGAGAGAGCGCGAAGGAGAGAGAGAGAGAGAGAGAGAGAGAGGGGGGGGTGGGGTGGGGGGACCAAGACGCCATCACACCGCGCAGGGCCAGGGCCCCTCCTGCCCCGCTGTGGGATTCAATGATACAGAGTGTTGGCAGCAGCCTTTCCATAATGCATCGCGCCGACCACCCCGACCGCCTCCAGGGCCCCGGCCGGGGCCGGAGCAGGGACGGACGGCATGCCATCAGGCGCGAGCAAAAGTTTGGGAGGTATTTGAATGGAGCTGACAGGCCGCGGCCGCCGTGGTGGGAGCGGGGAGGTCGGGGGTAGGG